ATGAAAGCGTTCCAAAACGCGACATTAATTTTTTGACGACCTAATATTTGGATCAGATTACGTTATCGAATACGTTTAGTTACTCGATCATTAGCCGTGAAATTGTATAAGCAAGTTTATTTTTACGTTAGTCGTCATACCGTTAGCAAGATATTTCCGTTTGAACGTCATTTGTAAAGTTAGGCCTACAAGTACTATTGTGTACAAGTGATACTGATAGTAGCCAACATTAAGGAAGAAACCAACTAAATTGATATCGTCACGTGAACTGAATTTCGCCATATTTTAATCTAATAATTTAAAGGAACCTGCCCAACGAAAGAATAACATTATGACAAAATATAATACATACTGTTTAATATATCAAAATCTACTTCTATAAAGCCCATAACCCAAGCACTTTCGTAGCGTGGGACATAACTCTTTTTTTTTTTCAGGAGTAATGTACCTTATTAAAATTCCAGAGGATCTTGCTTTCTTTGAATTTGAACCACTTTTCTAATCCGATGTTGTCGTTTTTTTTGTAACTCATGAATGTTTCTTTCATTCTGATGTTCATGTAATTGTTGTTAAAAGTGATTCGTCATGTTCACGTGAAAATATGGATGGAAACTTAAAAAAATTAGATTAGTTGAAACTTATTATACAAACTTTACCTCCAACAAATTACAGAAACAACAATTGTGGTTCTATCAAGTACGCTAACATGCGGAATTATATACAATAGTGTATTGCAGGGGCTAGCCAACAAAACTGTTATTTTCTTAATTATTAAAAAGAAACTAATACTTACTCCCTGAATTCCTCTAATTTTTGGCGTAGCTCTGTGGGAGTCAGTCGTAAAACGAAACGAACTCTCTGATCTTCTCGTAGTAAATAAATCTAAAACAAACAACAACAAAAAAATTGGTTTGTTTTACTTGTTTTTAATTTCAGACAAAACTATACAAGGGCTATCTGCGCTAGCCGTCCCTAATCTAGCAGTGACAGACTAGAAGGGAAGGCACCTAGTCAAAACCACCCACCGTCAACTCTTGGGCTACTCTTTTACCAACGAATAGTGAGATTGACTGTCAGATTATACCGTTCCCACGGCTGAAATGGCGATCATGTTCGGTGATGGGGATTTGAACCTGCAACTCTTATATTGCGAGACCAGCGCCCTAATCACCAGGCCATGCTAGACTAACAGAAAAGAAAGTTCAACAAAAGAAGGCAACTTTATACCGTTGACGTTAAAATCGGTACAATGTAAAACTGACACTTGTATATTCTATATGACATTGAGAATGCTATACGAACTATAAAGCAATCTCTAGGAATGGCAGTAAAATAATAATGTAAAAGAAAAAGTTGCACTTTGAGAGCACAGTGATTTTCAAATATTATTTATAACAGAAATTAAAGATGTACTTACAAATACTCTAGCCGTATCAAAAAGTCCATCTGTGTCATTTACTAAAATTTCGAAGTCGAAATACCCTTTCATTTTCTTTTGAGGGTCAAAATTTAAACTGATCTCTCCTGTTTTGTTATCCAGTAAGAATGGTGGCCCTCTGATGGATTCCAAGGCTTCTGATAACGTTCGCCGTATTGACCCAACAATGTAATAATGCACAATACTGTTAACTCCTATGTCGGAATCGGTTGCCTAGAAACCAAAAACCAGGAAAACGTGTCAGGTTATAGACGTCCTTAGAGAAGAGTACGAAATTCCCAAGGTGGAATTTAAATATATACTAAAAATCGGTTCAAAAAATGAACAAGCAAACACATTTTCCATATTGTTGGGTTACAAATTGTAAAGAAACACGAAAATGTACCTTTTAAAAATAAATGAAATAAAGTTCACATTTTTTTTCTCTAACAAATATTCTCCTTTTGAACTTTGGAAATACGTGAAAGTTTATAAAATAAATTTCAACGAAATTTGGTAATTCTGTTTCAAAGACCTGGAATATTTTAAATTCATTTAAGTTAATAAAGGGTTAAATGATAATGCCTGAATCTTAGTTTATAAAGACGACTTTCAACAAATTCTACAAAGCAGAACTAATGTGTAGTGCTGTAATAATCATAGTATAACTTGCTTTAGTATGAAACGCTTGATCAAAAAATCGTTTAGCATTAAGTATTAAATATGATTGAAAAATAACAATAAAATATCCATAATGCAAAAAAGACAAAACAAAGATGTTTTTTTTTCTCTGTACAAGATAAAATTATTCAATGATTCAGCAACTTTAAACACTTAAAAAGTAAATAAACAAGAGATTATTATCGAACTCAGAATGCTTTAAAATAAATGACCCGCGAAGTGACAATATTGTGTGACGGTATAATAGGATTATTACGTCACCTTCACAGTCATAAAGATGCTGCCAAAGTCTGCCTCCGTGGTGATTCCTCCAGTAAAAACTGATTTCACAAACTGAGGTGCGTTGTCGTTTACATCCTTAACGGTTACGTCAACTTGAAGGAGAGTATTGTCCCAAGGATCAAAGCGTTCGATAGATGGCGGTATGTGGAAGCAGTCGTCTGCTGCCTGAATAATTAAAGAATATTCTGACTTTTCTTCTCGGTCCAGTGTTTCAATGGCGTACAACTCATGAGTAAAAATATCCAATCGGAAACGATTTTTCTCATTTCCCCCTAAAAAACAAAAATTTAGAAAAACTATTTTATTTCAGAAACAAAATATATACATAAATTAGAGTAATGTTAATATGGTGAATTATTATTAATTTTATTAATTGACTTGAAATTGTTTTTGTTTTTCCTTTTAATTGCACCTAATTTATTTATCCTAGATTAGATAATTTTCCCTAAAAGTCATTGAAGGTGAGTGAATAAACTGAAATCAAAATCATGTTCTTTAATTATTCAACAATAACACCTAACTATAACTATGTCGTCAGACTTTACTAAAAATTAAGCATTGCTTGCAGTTAAGATAAATAATTAACTGGATTATACACTACTGAATAAAATATAATCATTATATGTTTGAAAAATGTTACAGTTAGTAAAAACCAATAAAGTGAAACATTACAGAACAAATATCTACAATATATATATATATCTATATATACACACACACTTTTTATATCATGGTTAGATTCGTAAATATGTGCATATCTTTCACAGTTATCTGCATTACATCGAAGATATAGGGTGAGGCGATTACAGGTCTGCATAGCCCTAACGATTATCTAAAAATACAAAATTAGTATTATTATGGATGTACACGCCAACAAATATATGAATGCGCCAGCAAAAGTTGTAATAAAACGATGTAAAATTCTACTATTCTACAAAAGTATAAATGGTACCATTCTAAAGTGAAAATGTCTGCGGCCATAGCACCCCAAAGCAATGAGCATATTCCGTTTATCAGACATAATTATAATAACTGATGCAAAACTAGAAAGCAAGCTGCAGATTCAATAAGGAGTTAGGATGTGAGTGCTAGAACCCATAACGTTCTAGCTCCCAATACCACGATAGCTCCCCCTAAAGATATAAAAATATCACCAGCTTTCACGTTTTCCTTACTTGTATGTGATTCTGATAATACATGATGTTGTAACTTTAATGCTGTAACAATATATATGATGTTATAAACTATAAATCCTCCTCTATAGTTCTGGTACCCCTACCCCCGCCCTCACAAGAACCTAGTCTTTCAAGTAACCCTGGGTCTGAAGTTGATCTTTACGACTCGAACATACTGAAAGTTTTGTTATAAATACCGCTAGTTTTTATAATGAGATTTTATATGATAGCGTCCTCTACAAAAATTATATTTCAAACTTATACTTTTGTATAAATGTTATAATTTTTACTTTGGTTTGGTAAAGTTTTTCTGGCGCGATCATTTATTTGTTGGCGTGTGCATCCATAGTGTATATCATGGTTAAATCTCGTAAATAATTTCACTTAATTTAAAGAAAATTGAAGTTTTTAAAATGTTGGTGACAACAGATTAAAATATAGTTTGAAAATTGCATTTTAACACAAACATACCAAAGGAGGCAAAAAAAGAGATAAAGATAATCTACCTTCTAATATAATTCATATTTACCTTTTGACATGGTTTATTATTACCTAATAATAATAAAAACCCTTCGACGTGTTTGATTATTACCTACTAGTAATAAAAACCCTTCGACGTGTTTGATTATTACCTACTAGTAATAAAAACCCTTCGACGTGTTTGATTATTACCTACTAGTAATAAAAACCCTTTGACGTGTTTGATTATTACCTACTAGTAATAAAAACCCTTTTGACGTGTTTGATTATTACCTACTAGTAATAAAAACCCTTCGACGTGTTTGATTATTAACTACTAGTAATAAAACCACTTCGACAAAGTTAATTTTACCTACTAGTGATAAAAACCCTTCGACATATTGAATTTTACCTACTAGTGATAAAAAAGAACCCTTCAACATAGTTAATTTTACCTACTAGTGATAAAAACTCTTCGACATATTGAATTTTACCTACTAGTGATAAAAACCCTTCGACATATTGAATTTTACCTACTAGTGATAAAAACTCTTCGACATATTGAATTTTACCTACTAGTGATAAAAAAGAACCCTTCAACATAGTTAATTTTACCTACTAGTGATAAAAAAGAACCCTTCAACATAGTTAATTTTACCTACTAGTGATAAAAAAGAACCCTTCAACATAGTTAATTTTACCTACTAGTGATAAAAACCCTTCGATCTTTTTAATTATCACCTTTAAGTGATAACACTAATTTAGTCATAGCTAATTCTTACCTACAAGCAAAAACAACAACTTTATGACACACTGAAAGTTTTGTTATAAATACCGCTAGTTTTTATGATAACATTTTATATGATAGCGTCCTCTACAAACACTCGAAATGAACATTTTCTCAAATTTGTTTGATTATTTTTAGGTACAAAGCTACAGAATGAGCTATCTAAGCTCTGCCCACAGCGGATATCCAAACCAGGTTTTGAGAGTTATAAGCCTTCAGACTTACATCTAAGCCATCGGGAAGCAACTTCCTCAAAAGATTAATTACTACCTGATAGAGATAAAAATCCTTCTAACATGATTAATTTCTACTTACTAAAGATAAAGTCTTTCTATCATGATTAATTCTTATCAACTAGAGATAAAAATTGTTCCGACGTGATTAGTTTCATACCTACTAGAGATAAAAGTCGTTCTAAGATTATTATTATTTCTTACTTATACATATAAAAGCCGTTCTAACGTGATTACTTCTTACCTACTATGAAGTAGCATGGAATAGCTTTGGTTAAACTTTCATGATCATCTTTGTCAATTGTTGGGATTAGTTTAAATTTTTCTTTGTTTGGTGGGTGGTTTTCTATAAACGCCACTCGGTACTGAAAAGTGAACACATATAGATATTTATATATTCAGCGCTTATTCGCTATAGATTGTTTTAACTACTATTTATGATGCAACAATTATTTATGAATTCAAACTTTTAGATTATCACACGCATTCTCTCGAAATTTTTATGATGATCAAATATTCTTTACCGTTTTAAGCTCACGTTCTTAGTGGAATCAAAGTTGTTTAATTTAATTTTTTTTATTTTTTCCAATTACTTTATTTGGTGTAATTTTATTTTCAGAAATATAAAATTGTGTTTGCAATGATACGAGTTTGAGAGAAAGCGCCCACTAGAAGCTTGAAAACAGTTTAAACGTTATCAACAAATGAAGGAACAAAGATCAAGAGCTGTAAAGTTACGTGTATTTTTACATGCTTATCAACGTTCATGGTCAACTAATATGTTAATTTACAAACTTAGAAAAAAGGCCTGTTAAATGTACTTCTACTCACCAACCGAGACACAAATACTTACAAGTGATATAAATCATCGTGATGCTATCTACCCCAAGAATATATCATAAAAGTTATAGTTTAATACGTTTATTTATTATCAGTTGAAAGAATACTTCATAATAATCTCTAACCTAAATACCACCTTCAGTGTCCAATTTTAGTTTCATATTCAGCATTTATGAAATTTCAGCTATTATTTGTAATTCTTGAGAAATAACGCCAACATCCATATTAATATTTGTACGTACCACGTCTTCTGTGAACTCTGGAGCATAGTCGTTAACATCGGTGACGTACACGGTGACATCAAGATCGCTGGACAGAGAAGTTGGTTGACCTAGGTCATAAGCTTCTACCCGTAGCTACGAGGCAAGATAATCTAATTAAAATATTATAAAGAGCCTTTTAAAATACAAAAAAGTCATCTTCTTTAATTTTCTAATAAATATGTCTGTTTGTTTGTTTTTGAATTTCGCTACACGAGGACTAACTGCGCTAGCCGTCCCTAATTTAGCAGTGTAAGACTAGAGGGAAGGCAGCTAGTCATCACCACCTCTTGGGCTCCTCTTTTACCAACTAATAGTTGGATTGACCACAACATTATAACGTCCCACGGATGAAAGGGCGAACATGTTTGGTGGGACGGAGATTAGAACCCTCGACCCTCAGATTGTGAGTTGTGCGCCCTAACAACCTGGCCATGCCAGGTCCAATACGTTTGTAATAATGTCAAAATTAATTCAAACAAAATACCATAGAGACTGAAATTTTGATAACACGAAAGCCTGATATGAAACTAATATGGTAAACAGCCGAATGATTAGCTTACCCCAATTGTAAATCCGAGGGTTTATGGTTAAAACAAAAACGGGCTCCGTAGTTTGGAGGGTGGGTGCATTAAACAGGTGATGGTCAAATCATAGTATTAAATCATAGTTTTGCCCACAATTCTGAAACAAACAAACATACACATCAATCAGATACTATGCGAAAGGCACTTTACCTCGTAATTACGTTGCTTTTCTCTGTCCAACATATTCTGAAGCGTCAAAATACCCGTTATTTTATCGATGTGAAACGTTCTCCAATGACCGTTACTTAATTCCTTCAGTCTATAACGAACTTGGCCATTGTCTCCAATGTCGTCGTCACTAGCACTAACGTGTAACACAGTAGATCCAACTGTGGCGTTCTGAAATGATACTAAAATGTTAAAGTTCTTCCTAATGGTTAAAACTCCTTTTCGTTGTCACTGTGGCGTTAAAACACTGCAGAATACTTTTTTTTGAAGGGGAAAGGACTTGGCTTTAATTAGCCTTTAAACAATCTTCCAGTTTGGGATCCTCTTGCATTACGGACACGAGCAAAGAAAATTCTTCAGTTTACATTAATTTTGAAAGATAATGTACTTTGGAGTTCAGTTAGTTGTAAATTTGTAAAAATAAAAAATATTTCGCGAAAACATGACCATAGAAACAACAGCCAACTGATCTTTTAGGTATAGTGTCTTTAAAAGTACACTTTGCCAATGAATTGTTATTTTCTGTTGATCAAAGCAAGCCATATATACAGATGAGAACTGAAAATAAACCCAGCAATAAACTTGGCGAATTTAACGCACTGTTCTTACGTTATTTCTTATGATAGTGAAAATGCTTTGTTTGATAACTTGGGTACTCTCGCTGTTAGCGATATTTTACACCATAATCTTTTTTACATCACATCTGTGAGAAGATATTAGGCATAAGATAGGCTTGCTTTTATACATATTTTGACTTTTTCTTCATTTGTTCGAAATGAAAACCAAAAATCGTGTATGTTTAAGTGAATCAGTATACTTATATTGAATAGACATGAATATCTGTTTTCTGAATAACAGATGAACTAATGTATGAATAACAGATGTAGCTCAACTGTTCTGTGAATAACAGTGTACCTTAACTAGTTTGCAAAACATATAAGTAACTGAACTACTCGTTGAAAATCAGGCTATATAAACTATACTGTGAAGTGAAGGTGTACTTGACAGATGTAAAAAATGTCTACCTACATTCTTCAGATGAAATCTTATGAGTGACAAAGGTGCTCCTGTAATCAGAAGAGAAATGAGCACCACAGTACTTTTATTTCTAAATATTTATTACATAGACTTTCACATGAAATATTCAATACTTAAAAATTTAAGATTCTACATCTTGGCGAAACTTATTTCTGAAGAAGTTGTGATTTTCTATTCACCAGATGATTTATTTCATTTACGCGCTTAAATAAAACTTACCAGCCAGTTAGTGTACGAAGCTTGTAAGCTAGAAACCTTTTGGCCCAGTGATGAATTTGGCCACAAAAGACAATATATATATATATATATGTGTGTATGTGTGTGTATGTGGATATGTGTGCTTTTGTGTCCCATATTGCTTAAATCTAATACTCAAAGAGCGGGTTTTGTGTACAAGTATAATATTTTCAACAACATACAGTCGATATGAATTAAATATTAAGCTCAAGCTCTGCACAAAAAACTAACGGAAGAAATATTTCATGTTATGTTGAAAAAAAGCCTTAAAGCTAAACCGGTTGATATTTAAAATATTATTAACTTGAAGAAGTTATCGGAAAGATTTGTGAATTTAAATATGATGTTAATTGTTTTCTTCTTGGGAAAAACATTATTATTTATTTCCAAACCGGCAGAATATATATTTGTTGAAGCTTGTGGTGTTACTTTGAAATATACTGGCAAGCATAAACTGTGTTGTCTTTTTTCCCCACATTTTACTTGTAATAATTATTAATCTTATCAAATCCTACCTCGGGAATCCTAATGGTATAATTACTAGGAGGTGTAAAGAATATTGGGTTGTGATCGTTCACGTCCGTAACACAAACATGAAATGTTTCCGTCGAGTTAAGGGAAGGTCGTCCTCGATCCTGAGCTCGAATCTCTAGAGTATAGTTCCCGAACCTATTTCGAAGTGGCTTTTGAGAGAGTATTTTGGCACTGTTGTCTTCTAATGTCTGAATTTCAAACAAGCCTGAAAAATAAAAGATATATATATATCATATACATTGGAGTTGCTGATGGCGAATCACAAAAGGTTAATCTCACATTATAAGAACAATTTGCATTTGATTCGCTAACGCAATGGCGCCAAAGGAACCATGTTTAGTATCTATATATTTGTTTCATAGTTAATTCCTAACCAGTTACAGTGGAAGTGCCGTCAAGGATAGGCTTAATTCTGGAGGAATAGGGCACAGCTTTTACTAAGGGATAGTAAGATTCGAGATGGTTAAACGATTTAGAGTCAAATGTCGCAATATTTAGAAGAATAGTCTTCAGTATTCTCCGTGGAAGTGTAAAAATTCACACGGTGGAGAGTTTTGGAAAGCAAAGACTCCTGAACCACACCTCAACTAAATCAGGAGCAACGCTGTCATTCGCAAGGTGAAGGATCTGGTTACGAAAGAGAACCCTTCAACCCAAAAAGCTATTGCGATGAAGATGGTTATGTTTACTGTTATAATTAAAAGCAGTTAATAAACAAAAATTTGAAGTTGACGAAGGTTCATAAGCTTTAGCTATTTTCATGAGAAAGATGGACGAAGAAACTTGTCTGTCGAAATCGTCATTGTAGCTTCAACGGACTATTAAACCTCTTATCTGTTTAAGTGTGGTCTTGGAAATCGACATACACATTAAGTGGAGGGTGTGTAGTGTGTCAAGAATTGTGATCTGTAAGAGCGGTTCGCCTCATCTGCAGAAGACTGTTTAATATAAATTGCTGTGTTGGGTTTCGGGTTTAGTGATTAATCATGCCTTTCAGACTGGTGCAATCTTCAATGAAGGAAGTAGTTCATGAGATTTCACGGGACCTGGAACATTATTCTTATAAAGTGAGAGTAACCATCCATTATAGAAAATGGAAGGATTTATAGATATATACTTAAATGATTAACAACTAACAGTGAAATTAATATAATGGTATAACTACAGAGACAGATTGGTAAAAAAATATCAAAATTATGAATAGATACGAAAATGGCAGCTAAGTAAAGTGTGAAAATAGACAGATGGAACGTAAAATTGTTCATTATAAAGACTATTAGATGATTGACTAAACTCGATAAATAAAGTGACAGATGGTTGAGCATATGGAATGGTAGGTAGATATCTGGTCTGGAGAGAGAAAATGGGTTGATGGCTGAATACCGATATTGGTCCGTAACGTAACAGCCACTGTCTCCAACATTTCAACGAATCAGGGTTTCAAGCAATTACTATATTATATATACATGTTAGGTTGTTATGCCACTGAGACCTGGGGGGGGGGGGGGATTTGATCTGCTTTAAATAAAGTGAGTAGACAGTGTGAAAGATGGTTGAATATATATATAGACTGGAGTATGGCCTGATAAAGGAGGAGAGAGGATAAGTAGCAAGAGCAGTAGATAGCCGAGCAAAGTTGAAGAGTCAACCAGCCTAAAAAATAAGTAGATTAGTGATAAGTCAGATAAAGTCAGTGGACTTACAAAGTAACTGAAAAATGGATGTAGAAATCAGTATATAATCATATATACCTGCTTGGTTACCATTAACAATGGAAAACGTTACTCTGGAGTTCTCTGTAAAGGGATCGTCTTTATCGATAGCTGACACCATGAATACGGTCTTTCTTAGTTCGTGAAACTCCGTCACACTAGCACAAAGCAGCTGCTTTACAAATGTTGGCGTTTCGTCGTTTACGTCTGTAACTCGAATGGAAATCTAATATTGAAAAGAAATTTTTAACTTAAGGGTTAATCACACTTTCAGTAACTTTTATAATTTCATATGTTTTATAAAGTTCGATAATTCATGGGAATGTTTATGTCATGTTATACTAGAAAACTAAAATATTAATATACAGAAATTTCATTGTAAATAGTTATAGAGTGATTAGGAAAATATTCAAATAAATTAGAGGTTTTTTTATTTTTCATTTATACAGAATGTCATACAAGTATTAGTATTAATATAAAATTAAATACTTCCTTAAATGAGAAAGAGATGTACGAAATCTGATATATAAATAATAACATGTCAATGTTTACATCGAATAAACCTTTTTTGAATTACGAGAAACTGATCAGTTTACTTTCTTTGAGCCAAAAGTTTGTACGCCTGAGATATCATTCCTCAAATAAGTTAATTTCGTCGAAAGCATCCTCCAGTGGGTCAGAGTACGTTTAAGTACTTACAAAACTCCCCGTGGTGCACAGAGTGTAGATAACCCATTTAGTAGTTTTGCACTAAGAAAACAACCTCAAATTTCGTTAAAAGCGTTAACTAACTTTGTTCTATTCCTCTGGCAGACATTTGATCGTCCTCAGCACGCGTTCCGTTTCGTTAATTGGTTGAATTGTGCACCATTCAACAATAACCATCTAACAAACAAATCTGGTTGAATTGTGTAACATTCAACAATAGCCATCAAACAAACAGATCTGGTTGAATTGTGTACCGTTCAACAATAGCCATCAAACAAACAGATCTGAAAACATGAAGTATAAAACTTCGTCTATAGAAAATTCACACTGTAGTAAAGCATGATCAAAGCGAAAGAGTTTAAATACAAATATAGTCATTAACTCATGTTCTTTAAAATGATATAGACTAGTTTGGATCTGTAATCGTTCTGTTAAGTCTTTTTGAACCATACAATCAGGCCTACAGAGGCTGAGTACGTTGTGTTAAAACGATTTTGAAGCCACACCACGTCGTTTTTGTATGTGTCGCCACGTTCAGTTGTACTCTACCTGACGGTCGTGCCTCTTGACAATAATCCTGCTGCCTAGTTACCAATGCATAAAGCTCGGTCGTAAACCTATACTGTCCAATGCACATTACTGTTCCCTGCTGGTTTTCCATAATCCATCTACTGCACGAGAATGACAGCTTCTCAGTGTCCACTTCAACAATCCCATAGGCAATCTGCACATTATGTCTTCGTATGGAATAGTATAAATACTCGTTTCATTCTATATCTGCTTGAGGTATGCGATGGTTAAACGAATATATCAAGAAAGCAACTTGTGTACACGGGATTTGTGTCACTTTTCCAGACGAATACCCTTCTTCATTATGTTGTACTGTTGCTTCGCCACGTGTACAACTTTGTGTTCGTTAATTCTCACCCTTTACAAGATGCTGCACTTTACTTACCACCGATAGGGTACAACTTGTTACAGGTCTGTTTTTTGATGGTTCTGGTGCCCCAAGCTTGTCTACATTCTTTGTTGTTCAGGTCATTAAGGACAAAAGATATACCCGTCTTGGAAATTCTAAATCTCCTATCTGAGCACGTCCTTATGATCTGAGTGTATGACTGCTTTGTGTCGTAAGGGGCTGCAACACATCTTCCCAAAAGCGATTGCTTTTTTGGGGGTATCACACTACATACAAACGCCAAACAATGTCAAAATCTATTTCTCATTCATTCCATTTCATTATGACTTTGTATCGGCTGTGGTTATCATGCGACTTGCTGATTTGCATATTCAAGATCGTTTTAATATGAAATTCACAACCCTCTATATATGTTTTAGGTTTACAGAGAGCCATTTAAAAAAAGAAAGAAAAGGTATTATTGTTTCATTACGTATATTAAGAAACAGGTTATAAGAGATGTTCAAAATACAATTTAAATGTTCTTTCACTCCTGCGCAAAAATGTTCATAAAGTCATTTCAATAAAACAGATGGTTTGATATTTCGGAAAGTTTTCAGATGGAGTTAAGACTTTTTATAATGTAATATTACGTAATAGATTAGATTTTCATAGAACAACTTTGGACTTCACTAACCTTTATGAACGCTTTCCTACTTTCGCCGGTCGAAAACCCATATTCGTAGTTATCCCAAGCCTGTACAATTAAACTATAAATGTCTTTATCTTCTCTGTCAAGCTTTTCACTTACAATTATTTGGCCCTACAAAATGAGAAAAGTGAATGATCAGATATCAAATATCCACTTTCATCAAAATTTGTCGTTGATTCTATATTGTTTATTCAATTTGAAATAGGTTTAAAATATCAATATTACATGAAAAGATTTCTAAATGATCATCTAAATATTCTCTTGTCCCTAAAATTGATAAAGATTCAAAAAATATATTTCCCATAAAAACTTTTATAACAGTTTTATTCTTTTATATTATTTCAGGTTTCCTTTAAAATATATTAAAATAATATTTAGTTTTATCTGTCTTTTAGTTATACTACGTATTTTAAATATTTTCTTGTTTTATGGCACTACGTACGAAATACTTACTTTTTGTAAAAAAACTTGTTACGCTTTATAATTTTCATTTGGCCAGCAATGATTTCAATAAAAATTATATGATTAGTAAAAACTTCCGAGTAAAAATAAAGAATAATGTAATTCAATATATCAAAAACACCAAATCTGCTGTATCCAGTGCCTACGAGGCCTTTTGCCCAATAACAGAGTTCTTCAGGCTGACTGGGATATACAGACAAAGTAGTGGCTTGTTTATTAAATCATAAAGCCTCAAAATGTCTTTTGGACTTTGGTATTAATTTATAATTTTCATATTCAATCTCCTACCGTTTCTCGGTCGATCCTAAATTTCCCTTCAGCCCCAGCGGAATCCCAAGTATACGTTAATTTTCCATAATCCCCTGTGTCAGCGTCTGTCGCCTTTATTGTCGCTACCTCGTGACCAACTGGAGTATCTTCTGGTACTGTGAAATCAGACATCCTGTCTACAAACACTGGATTATTGTCGTTCTCATCCAGCACCTGAAGATACAAATCGGCCGTGCTTGAAAGAGGAGGTTTTCCGCCATCTATCGCCCGAATGGTCAGATTCAACCACGAGAAGTGTTCTCTGTCAATTTTACCGTCTACTGTAATTTCACCTGCAATACATTTAACTATACATAAACTGGGTGTAAAACCACTGAAACCAACCGTAAGTACATTCACCAGTGGTTTTGCTTGAAAAAAAGAGCAAAATTATGACACGATTAAAATCTGAAAACCAAATGTAATAAATGATGGGGAACAACGTCTAATCTACAAATTAAACTGAATTTCTAACTGCTGAAACTTTACGATTTCTTCAAGTAACATTATGTTATCGTAATTATTTCAAACGAAAGAAACTTGAGATGTAAGTATACAATAATTCTACTGCATTTTTAAAATAGATTAGACTAAACGTTCGAAAAAAGCCACTAAATCCCGTGAGAAAGTAAAAATTTAAATACGTATTAAATTTAAACTAATGAAAATTCAAGACCTAGTTTTAAGTATATTATAGTTCATTAGTGTTATTGTTGTATATAAAATATAATTCATTACGAAGATGTAATTATTATTAACCCTAGCTCGTAGCTATGTAATTCGTTATCTCTGGTTCGTAGCTATTACGATCCATACAGTTTTGAAGCAACTGCAGCATTTTGAGGCATTTCACTCTATTTTAAATGCTTCAAGAAAGGAGAAATAGAGACTTATAAAATTCCATGCATGATACACATTCATGCAATATGAAGAATATTTTGGCACATCTAATGAATGCATACGAAAAGTTACGCAACGATGTGTGACAAAGAAAGGAAATGTATATGTCAAGTATAGACTAAGATGCATTCCAGGCGTTGTTTAGAATCAACTGTTTGCATTATCTGTAGATCGACGCCACCACAGCAGAGAGAAAGCTATGGGAAAATTTATATTAGCTTCATTAGAGACTGAACACAACTTTCATAAAAGGAATTAGCAAGGAAATCAGAGACTCTGGGCGGAACTTTGATCTGAAGAGGACGAGGAGAAATACATGTAAATAGGCTGCCAATTTACCGTCTTCGATCATAACCGATTTTTGAATTAGTTTTCGTTTTAGTTCTGAGAATTATGATTAGTCAAAAAATTCACCCAATTAAGTGACAGATCTACTTGTTTACACTATTTAGAGCATCGTAAGAATACTGAAGAAATGCGTATAAAAACTTGTGTTTTTGGGCTGAAAGACAGTCTCCTGATTCATACTAAGAAGCCAAACAACTTGCTGCTGATCGAATACTGCCTGATCCAATTATGCTTGAGCCCAGAATAATGTTGAGAATGTCTGTGCTGCAAGATACCAATGATTCCCGCTTAAGCTCCATGTAAGTAACTATTACTATCTCTCTCAGTCGAATAATGTAGTTAGAAATTACATGTGCAGTGTTTAACATTAAAGAATAAACGACAGTTACGTCTGAACAGTTTTCAATCAATGTGTTAGTTGATAACTTACTGATAGTATTAAGTAATTTAATGGATATTATAAAAAGTTCAATTGAAGAACAGCTACCCGTTTAGATTGAACAATTCAGTAATTTTAACAGTGAATCTTTTCAAGATACCTTTGGTAGCCAAGTATCTTAATGTATTGCATTAAAACGTTGTTTGTGTTTTGAATCTCATTCCCTGAGTCAATTCTTTATTCTAGCTGTAAAACGTCCTCAAGTTAGTGACTTATGTACTCCAACGCGACTGTACAACCTGGAGTTTAAATAAATCTATAGTTAACTGGATAAGTCGAACTCCAACGACTAGCTCATATGGAGTCCACGTTTTTGTAGCTTATTAATGCACAATACCCGCCTAACCGAAGAATTATAACGACGCTTGGAACTCTATTTAGTACAAAATAAAGCACAAAGCTAAAAGAAACTAAATAACAGAAAATACTTATAATATTACCTGTTTTAGAATCGATCGAAAGTAATGATAAGACTTGTGGCCTGCCCTCTAGTGAGTAAGATATTGTCCGATTTTTGTCGGCATCTGTTGCTATTACTGTAAGAACGGGTGATCCTGCTTTACTGTTCTCTGCCACCACATGTTTATAGTTCAGTTTTTTAAAAACTGGGCGGTTGTCATTGATATCGTCAATTTGAACAGTCAGGGTCGCTGTAAATGAAAAAAAAAAACAATCGTCTTCGAATTATTATTTTCACAACCATTAGTATGAAGTAAATGTGTAATTAATTCTGTAAATTTGTAATTTTTGATGGATTTTTCTTATTTATTTTTTACAAAAGGAATTTACACACTATTTTTTACTCTCCATAATTAATTGTTTTTTTTTTCTTCCTAATTAGTTCTTGTCAGTGTAGTTTGTTATTTTCTGTTTTAGCGCAAAGCTAAATATTGGACTATCTGCGTTATATTGCCGCCGTGGGGATAGACCTTTAAATTTTACACTTATAAACCATCAAGCTTGCCTATGTGACAACAGTTAACATGTAATTTTGAAAATAAAATACATCCCATTACAATAGAGGGTAATACCTGTATAATTAAATATATCGCATTGTAATTGAGAGTAATCTCTGTATAATTAAATATATCGCATTGTAATTGAGAGTAATCTCTGTGTAATAAAATATATCATGACATTAAAATGCAGATTAATCTTTGTTTTTATTTATGTTAGTATTGCTATATGGTAAATATGTAACGCAAACGTTCTCCCATGAAGATTCACGAAAAAATATAGAAGTAATGATATTTTGGCATAATTGTGTACAGTAGGGTAGAAAAAACAGCAAGCTAAATCATTTTGACATTATAGTTAAAATTATTTTTCTTTGTTATTAAGTTAACAGTTATTGAGCGGATTTAATCAGACCTAAGTACCTACGTTCGAGCCCCAAAATTTGGCATTCTTTATAAGATAAAGCACAAAGTTTTTTATACCTTTAATTTTAATCACATCAATTAATTTTCTATGTATTTAAAATTATATAAAGTTAGTTTTGTGTCTTTATTAAATTCTAACTGCTCCCTGGTGGATCAGCGATAAGTCTTCCGCCTTGTAACGCTGGTTTCGATACCCTAGGCAGAACACAGATAGCCCATTGTGTAGTTTTGTATTTAACCAAAAACAAATTTTAACTTAGACATTTTATAGACCTTGAAAATAAATTAAAACATCTCAAGTGTACCTGTTGCTGTCTGTCCATCTGTGGTGGCGGCAAGATCTTCCACTTTCAGTACTAGCTTCATAGTTTCTATTTTTTCACGATCTAGTGCTTTTACAACAGTTATTGTCCCATCTGCGTTGTTTATGTCAAAAACTCCTTGAATATCAAACTCATTTTCCAGTACTACTGCCCCATTTTCATTCTTTGCTTCACTGTGAAAATAATCAAATGAATATCTCAAGATAGGCTTTTCGTCTAAATCGACTGCTTTTACTCTCGCAACAAGATGACCCACCGGAGCATCCTCTGGCACGAGTGTCATTACTAGATCTGTAAATGTAGGAGATTTGTTATTAACGTCAATAATAGAGATGTTAGTCCTAGTTACCGCATGCTTCTGATCGTCTCCAATTCCACCATCCAAGGCAACCACTTCTAACAAGTAAATGGTAGTTCTCGGATTAGTCATATCAGGATCTAAGTTGGCGCCAACAGCTACTGAAATAATACCGGTATTGGCGTCGATAACAAACTTATCCTGAGCGCCTGTCTGAATACGGTAAACAACTCGACTGTTAGCAGGAGAGTGATCACCGTCGAAGGCTTGGACCTGAAGAACAGAAGTCCCACCTGGTGTGTCTTCTGGAATAGCTTTGTTATAGAAAGAGCTATGGAACACTGGAACAACGTCATTGGTGTCCTAGAAATTAACAATTAAAGATCAGTTAAGAATATACCTAGGACAAAATAAATGTCGTGAACAATAAAAAATAATTTTAAGACAGTGCAACTTGTATAATGTTTAGCGTTGTTTTTAATGACATTTTTCGAAACAAATTATAGATCAAATGATATTTTCCACTTACATATGAAAATTGCTACAAATTACTTTCGACACATGTCCCTTCCAAAAAGTTCCTTTGACTAGAACTTACCCTAACGTATATTTCCACAGAGACGTCATTGCTCAAGGATGGTTCGCCCAGATCATAAGCACGAGCTTTTAACCTAAAAGTCCGAACGTCACCTTTTTCCTGGGATATCATCTCAAAATCAAGAGGAGCCCTTGGCCGAATCTCGCCTGTAACAGCATCGATGGTAAAATTTCCCTGGCGATCTCCACCGACTATTTGGTAGCGAATTTCACTGTTTCTTGTATTCTTTAAATCTTTGTCTTCAGCCTGTTATTGCAGTTTAATGTATGATTATAAACCAAGGCAAGTAACACGATCATTTTTAGCATAATCACAAAAAATATAAAAGCACTCTTTGATTATATCACTACAGCACAGTCAACATCAACTTGGTTTACTGTGTCTTAAATTACATGCAATACAATTGTAGCAGCATGTTGATGGGTTAGATCCAGGAAGATTGGCATCAAGTTGATTTTTATACAGTTGGAACTGGAATTTTTAACTTTATAACATAACAGAGTCCTTAAGATTCTACAATAGGAGATTTTTTTCATATGCAATTCATCTAATTAATCCTATTCCACATGGAATCTTCAAAATTTCGTACACATGGGGAAGAGATGGATCCAGAAATGAAGATAGAAAAGTATGAAAATAACATGTGATTTTGATTAAACTTGCATGCTTAATTACTAAGTAGGCAGATCCCCCTTGATGACGTCATAAATATGGTGAAATTTTTTCAGATTTGTTCAATCAACCATTTTTTGTCATTGGGTAGTCTATACTACAGGTAACACCACTAATATATATATATACGTTATAACGATACTTTTTATCTTTATACAGTAACAAATTATCTTTTTCACTTACCCTCTTCATAGCATTATTGTATTGCAATTAAATAAAATGTATAAATATCTGATTTTAAAATAGAACGCACGAGTGGAAGTTCAGCTTTATTTATGATTCGAATTTCCATCGCAACCACCAAGACAACGTTCATAACTTTCAAGCTTGATTTCTACTGTATTATTCTAACGAGAAAGTTTTTCTGATCATGTTATGCTTTTAAATGGATCATGCTCATTTTGTTCAAAATGAATCCAGTCAAGTACCCCAACAAAGACATAAAAAGGGTAACATATAAACCTCATTATTTCTATGTCTTACCCTTTTCATTTGTCAAAATTCTCCTTCTCGATTATTGCGGAGATATGAAAACTTCCCTGCTACTTGTAGTGATTCTATTGTACAACTTGTTTTTATTTGTTTTTGTTATTTTTTGTTATTGTTTAGCTACCATTATTCAATATAAAAATTTTCAAAAGCAAAGTTTACATTTTTCCAAAGAAATTTAATTTATTTTTCAATTCCAACAAGAGTTATTATTTCAGAGTTATCAGATCATAAACTTGTTCTGTATGACGGTGGAATGATAAAAATGCAAAACAAAAGTGCCTTTAGCTAATTTTCATAAATAAAAGTGTCCCCAAAATGGATTTCTGAGAATTTTGGACATGTCGTAGAAAACAACATTCCGGTTTAACGATACCAAATACAAAATGTTACCAATTTCATCCAAGTAGACCCTGTTTTTTATGGTTCAACGACCACACTGGATTAGAACATTTTAATACAAGTTTGGAATAAAAGTAATATAATAATAATTAAATAACTTTAGCCTTAGAAGTCTCTATAATTTGTGAGAATAAAATATCTCATCCTAACTAAATGCTTCAGAATTTTTCTTAGACCTAAAATGTTTCTAAAATTCGCAACCTAGGCTGCCCTAATTCAACCTCTGAACATAACAAATCAACATAACAATAAAAAAAATCACGATTAGTGTTTTGTTGTGCAAGCACAATAATTTCACATCTAAATCTGTATTCTTCTGTTTCTTTAAATTATGAGTGGTTCGAAATAATAAGTAAGCAACATGTTATTGAAATGGTCAATATCCTTTGGGTGTACGTGATGGTTTTTATTTGTTACTTACTGAGTAACATAAAACTTTTACGTTAGAAAATTCTTAACTAGAAAAGAGTAGTCATGTTACGCTGACTGAAAACCAAATCACTTGTCAATATTAAAATTTCGTAAATAACAACAAGATAACTAAGGTACAGAATAACAACACATTTGATAATTAGTGTAAATGATGGTCTTTTGATACTGCGTTTGTTCAAATGTATATTGCTTTATTTATAAATCATTACCTGAACAACAAGTGGGGTGAGAAAACTAGCCTCGTTTTCATGCAGACGTGCTTCGTATTGTGGAAACAAGAACTCTGGACTGTTGTCATTCACGTCCTCCAAAGTGATCTGAAGTTGAACTGTATTTCTGTTTCCTAAGCCTTCATTGTCGCGTGCTTCTACTGTGACATAATACTGTGACGTTGTTTCTCGGTCAAACCCATGCTGTGACGTTTTTACAGTAATGACACCCGAAATAGAATCAAGAGTTAATCTAAAGTGAAGAATGGAAATTGAATTTAATATAGTTAAATCATCATGGACTCCTTAGTGTAAGGAGTAATATTATCACTTACAAAAATTCATCTACAAACAAAAAAACTTCCATATTTCTAGTAAAGATTCCCGAAAATCTCATGTTTCTATTGGCAAGTAGCTGAATTACATGAAAGAAACTCTGACTATATAAAATGTGACATTTAGGTACTAGTAAAACAAAACTAAAACCGATGATATTTCAGCTTACTTATCCGCCACTTGCCCACGGAGGTCGGTATAACGAATTCCATCTGTTCCGAACGCTTCAGAGTCTTGGTCCGTTGCCTGTGACAACAAGAAAAAAATTGAAGTGTTCTTAATTTGTGAAATGAATTTTCAAAACATTTTTATGAAAGAAAGCATGTAGTGAAGATGCTTTACACGTAACGGTCGCACACATAGACACACATGTATATATACACGTGTATATACGCACTTATTTATCTATCTACTTTAATATACAACAAAGTAAACGCCTCTATATTGAATCATGAAAAAACGACACAAATAAAGTGTTAGAATGATTCTTCAATGTATTCTGTTACTGGATGACAGCGCTGTTATAGTTTGGATGTATTCCGTTTTTGGTTGATAGTGCTGTCTTAACTTTAGAGTGTTCCGTTACTGGACGATAGTGCTTTCGTAACTTTAGAGTGTTCCGTTACTAGCTGACAGTGCTGTTATAGTTTCAGTGTATTCCGTTACTGGTTAATAATGCTGTCGTAACTTTAGAGTATTCCGTTACTGGCTGATAATGCTGTCGAAACTTTAGAGTATTCCGTTACTGGTTGATAATGCTGTCGTAACTTTAGAGTATTCCGTTACTGGTTGATAAGGCTGTCGTAACTTTAGAGTGTTCCGTTACTGGCTGGCAGAGCTGTTATAGTTTGGGTGTATTCCGTTACTGGCTGATAGCGTTGTCGTAACTTTAGAGTGTACCGTTACTGGATGATATTGTTTGGATGCTTCTCTTCAGCCGCCTGGTGGTTAGGGCTTTCGACTGAAAGTCGTGTAATCGAAACCCAACGCTGAATATGCCGTGGGGGCGTTATAATATGACGACAATCCCACTATTCATTAGTGAAAAGCAGCCTAAGAGTTGGCGGTGGGTGATGGTGACTAACTGTCTTTTCTCTAGTATATCACTTCAAAGTTGGGAACAACTATCATAGATATTGCTCGAGTATATTCATCCAATCTACAGCATTTTTAAGTCTTGAAGAAGCACAGCCTGGTATAAAGACTAAATTATTTTATCTGTACTACTGTATCGTAAAAAAATATATTGTAATAACAGTTGAAGTGGTTGATGTTCTTTATTTTGAGGGTTGAAAACATGAGTTAATTAAACAAATTATTTCAAAACGTTATATTTTACGTATTTACGGTAATGTTGTGTAGAGTGGATGTCAGTCTTTGTCATGGAAATCAAAAATTTAATTATTAACATTCCTTGTGAATGTTGACTCCAATGTATTGTTGAAACAAAATGACCAACGAAAGTTAAAACACAGGGGAGTAATAGACATACAAGATTCCGTAATACCTATCCATCTGCAATAGTTAATAATGCAAAGTAAAAAACCATACAAATAAAAAGTAATGATACTAAAATATCTGGATACGAACCACACTCAAGATAAAGTTAAACGAACCCTTTCACATCCACCTAACTTATAACACACGCAACACCAACCTAATGCAAGAGTCAACAAAGCCAAAACACTCTTCTTTAAAGCTTTCAAATTGTTGGTGGATGAAAGTCATAAAAGGGGGAGGGACAACCTAGACCAGTAGATAGCACACTAGCCTATCTATCTAGGACATCCAGAATCGAATCCAGGCTACAAACCACCATAAAACATAGGCTTTATCTATACTTCCCTGTAAGTGACAATAGATTAGCAAAGAACACAATAAACTGGAATAATACCAACATAATTGGTTATAAGCTACACATAACAAGACAAGAAGTTAACAGAAACTTTCTACATTCATATAACCTATAACACAATCAGACAACCTGAAATATACGAGTGGATATCACACCAACATAGAACACAGACTTCTCTAAGGACGGGAGCAAAGGGCAGAGGAAATAAGACATTAACTAGTTAGTATTATTATCATCTGCTGATTAAAATAATTGTAACCAGTTAACAATTAGAATTAGGTGCTCGTATAGAACGTAAGTTGTCAAATTTTGTGAATATTGATTACTCGTAGATACAATTATTATTATAAAAAACAAACAAACTCATTCTTCGGAACATAGATGCCAATAATACAACTCCATCTGGAATAAGCGGAATACACATGAATATCATGTAGGCCACAAATCAAAATTAATTTTTGAGGTTCAAAAACACCAATATCATGTTAAGTTGTAAAGTCATAGCATTACACTGAACGTTTTGGAAAATACAGAAGACTTGCTCCCCTTCTTCAACAACAACTACAACATCCTGTATAACTGTAATATAACTAGGAAAAGTAAAATAATAGAAAATACTGACAATCCATTACCATATTTATCTCCCTTTTTCTATCCATCAAGTCCCTTATTTTCTCTTCTTCCCAAAAACAAAGTTTTTACGAGGAGGTCCTCCCATAACCCCACCTCCCGTGTCCTGTTTACACTTGAGATTTGCTCAAGGTGTCATATAAGGTATGACTACTTAGATTTTAATCTTTGTTGGAACAAATAATTAGAATTTTATTATCCTGAATTTTCAAAAGTAATTCCTTATAAAGGGTTATGATGCTTTGTTGATTAATAGAACCTTTGTTTACTTATTCTACCTCAACAATATTACCAAGTAGTTTAAATAAGGATATGTTTTGGTTTTTAAATTTGGATATTGAGTGGATATCATATTGCTAGGGAAAATTGTTTAAATGTTGGTCGTTTCGCTGATAGGTTCACCACATAATTGGATTGATTTTCACGCAAATACCCAACTGAGGGCGCTGGCAATAAACTGGGTTATATCATTTATAGTATGCTATAGTAGTGCTAGTAGTTGTAATAGATAGCGAAATTTCCCAATTTAAAGAAGTATTGAGAATTCTAAACACTATATTAATGATAATTTATAAATTCCCTCTACCGAGTTTTATGTACCAGGATGTAATAATATCGGCGGAAATGTTTTTCCCAAGGTTAAACAAAAGACTGCAATCACATTTCAAGCATCCAACGAGGGGAAGCGAACTTCACCAATAAATTGTGAATCGCCACTAGCTACTGAAATATTAACAATATGCTAGATATCATGTAATTTAAAATAGTGTATTGCTCAACAGAATGCATGAAAATATGATTAATAAACAACTTTCTAAAACACGCGTACTGGGTGTAATTTTCATGTAGTTTTCTGAACTGTGATACTGTATAATGCTAAGTAACTTGTCTTTCTTTAATAGAAGATATTTAATGAAAATTATACACGCATATCTTTTCTAAAAGTTCTCATCTAGAACGGCAGATCAAAAAATAAATTTTATAAAAGTGGGCATAATTTTTTAACATTGCATTATTAATTTCATCATTTCTCTCAATAGATATAATTTTTAGATCTTGTCTAGTATACATAACAATATTTCATATTGCTTTTTTGGAACACAAAAGTGGACCTTGAACTTGGAAGTAGCAGCGATGTTTCTGATCTAGCTGTTACGTGATATGCTCTTCTAATTGAAAATAGCTTACACAAGATGATGCGGTATCTTCATTCTTTGCACTGGAAGGACATGTTACTTCCAACAGTGTTTCTATCATAGATACGGTGAGGTGTGGCAAGGGAATACGGGTACAATTGGTTTTCAATATTTTTCTAATGCCACACTTCGACCATACTGCAAAGATGGAGATCTTAATGTTGTTGCATGTGTTAGATTATTAGCTATCTTATGCACATCTTTGCATGAGATTAACTTCACTATTTCACCAACATTATTGGTCAATCTGTAGTACCTAGTCTCTAGCCAAATTTGAGAAGTTACTTGCTCCCCCTGTCAGCTCTTACCTACAGTATATAATTTGGCAATTTTAAAATAACAATTAAATTACTTAATACATTATAATACACCGTTTAAAATGTGAAAGCTTTCTGATCTATCACGATCTGTCTGGCTTTGTAGGAGAATAAAAATTAAACCTACCGATTTACCAGGTAATTTTTTCGCACTCATAATTTTGTACCTTTAGTTATACTCTCATATATTGCCATTTTCTTGTTGTAAAGCTCGGTGAAAATGATGCTTGTAATACCATTGTCATTAGTTATAGGCCTAAAACAACTCACAGTTGCTTGTCAGAATAGTTCTAAACCTACCCCGTTGTTTTCCTTAAATAAGTTTTAAATTCACTCATGCTAGAGATGAATTTCTGTATTATTTGATTTAGGGGAGGGAGAGGGGGTGATATTCCATCTAAAATACAAAATATTGAAAGAGGCAGATAAATTTACTCACGACATACACACACATACTATACTACATGTTTAATCTTGATTACCTTAACAACAGCTACCGTGGTTCCTTCCCGTACATCTTCTGGTATCGTAACCTGGTACATTGTGTCGGAGAATTGAGGAAAGTTGTCATTAGTGTCACGTATGTAAACGGTGACATCAGCTGTGCTGGATTTAGGAGATATAACAGCAGTTTCCCGAGCTATGATCTAAAAATATATATAAGTTTGTGAAACATTTTAAAACAGCATCAGGAATTATTGTAATTCCCAGCTTTGTGTTATTTTTGTAAGTCTTAGACTTACTAAACCTATATCAATCACTGTGCACTCGTAAGTTATTAATAAGCTACAACAGACGAAACCCAGTAACCTCAACTTTCACAATGTAAACCTTCCCTCTCCCCCGCGGTGACTCAACAATAAGCTAAAGCGCTTATAAAGCAGTAGGCGCAATCTGGATAGGCCATTGTGTAACTTAACAACAGACATATTTAAGAAGAAAAAAAGGCTCCATATTCTTCAAACACTTGTGGATTGCTCAGTGGTGAGAAAAGATATTATTCAACCTAACAACATGAACTGTCTTGGGATGCAGACCTTTCCGTTTTCAATGATGAACTAAAAATGAACAAGAACTTGGAAAATCTGATCACACGACAAATTTCACAGTTCGTGTTCATCTCCAGTTTACCTTACCCTCTGTAACAGCTTGATATTTCAAAACAATAAAATCACAAGTCTTTGTAAAAAAAATATTATATTAGCGAGTAACACACACACACACGCATATATAAATATATATATAAAACATTCAACCCAAAATAATTGTTTGTATTTAAAATAAGATTTGTAGTTTAAGATATTTTTTTACCTTGAAATTCATTACTTTCACTCTTTCATAGTCCAGTGGAATAGAATGTTTTACACGAATAAGAAAAGAAGCTTCATTAACGCCCTCTGATGGCGTTACTTCGAATACGTCATTATCTTCTTCTAAATACATCCTAAATGTTCCATTGGTGCCCTAGTAGTCAAGTGCAAATACGGAGGTGATATTTAAGATACAAAAATGTTATATAAGCAATTACAGTTTCTTTATACATACACTTTATGAATTAATATACTAACCAAAAAGTATTATAAAAAAATCTACTAAATTTACAGCTCTGTCTATTTCAATGGAAGTTTCTTAAATACTACTAGATATTTCAATTTTTATTGAATCTGTATAAAACATAATAACATATCATAAATGCTACAAGTTGATAAGCAAAAAATACCAGTTTTTCAGTAAGTTAATTCCTTACAAGTCATTTGTGGACAGCAATATATTCGAAAATGTTTGCAGGTCCCTGTTAATTTATTGGACACAACTACATGAAACAATATAAATGCTACGATTCTGCTTAGCGCCCTAACCTGATCGTGGTCAAACACTTCGGGAAGACTATCTCCAATGAAATTTACTGGAACGTTGACTTGAGCATTCTCGTTCACTTCGGCAATATATTTCTTACTTCGAAACGTTGGCGTTTCGTCATTAACATCAGTTAAAATGACAGTCACCTCAGTTTTAACACTCGGTACAGGGTAGACTACTGGGGTATCTTCTTGGGCCTACCATGAAACAGAGAAATAGTATGCACTGGAACTTTGGTATCAGTATTGGGTCGAATGTCAGTTATTTTAACTTTAAAACATGAATTAGGTTCAAACACCAAGATACCGGGAAGATACGCCACGCTAATATTGCTTTTTACCCATTGGAACAAGCGCTGATATACTGTAGGGGATCAACATTCTGGCATCATTACTTTTACTAATTAGATTAACAGTAACCTAGGTTTTAACACTTCGAATATAATACATAGGGCCACAGAGTCAAAGTAGAAATATCGTTTTTGATGAATATATAATAATATGCGACAAAAGCTAGTTTGTCAAAACTTTCTGTTACAATGATCCAAAGAGATCTAATAATGAGGCTTTTGAATATGCTTACTAAACTCCTGTGATGTATACACTAACCCCCCCCCCCAAAAAAAAAGAATTTAACATACGTTCCTCCTGTTGCTTCTGGCCTAGACTAACGTGTTATAGGGGCCGTTCTGAATTAAGAGAGTCAACATTTATTTCACTTTACATTTGCCCCCCAGTGGCACAGCGGCATGTCTGCGGACTTAGAACGCTAGAATCCGGGTTTCGATACCCGTGGTGGGCAGAGCACAGATAGCTCATTGTGTAGCTTTATGCTTGATTACAAACAAACAAATCACTTTACATTTAGTGACACTTATTCCTAACCATTTACCAACAAAGTTTCACAAAAAATATTATAATCACAGTCCTCCGGTGGGACAGCAGTAAGTTTACGAACTTACAATACTAAAATCCGGGGTTAGATTCCCCGCGGTGACAGTAGATAGCCCAATGTGACTTTTCTCTGAAACAAACAAACAACCATAATCACGGTAATACCAAAAAAAATGGAAAAAAGACATATTACGGAGGTTTCGAAATTGCTTCACATTCAACAATCGCATTGAAACCTCATAAAATTGATTCATAACATTATAACTACAAAAAAACAACATCAGATATTAAGATTGTAGTTTTTAATACAATCAAAAGTTTAGAAAGAATGCAGGTTTAATTAAATGTTAAACCGTGGAGTAGAAATGGGCGTCAGCAGAAATTATTCAAGGGAGGGGCAGTTTTCCAGAGGGAGGCAAAGTAGTGTGAACTTGTGAATTGAATAAAAAATTCTTACATATGCTGAATGAATAAAGAAAGAATTATGTTCCTCATTTTTCCAGGGTGGGAGTGCCCCTCTTGCTCCCCCCTGCGGACGCCCATGTTATGGAGTAGACATATTTAATAGTATTGTTGGTTTGAATTTCGCGCAAAAGCAACACAAGGGCTATCTGCGCTAGCCGTCCCTAATTTAGCAGTGTGAGACTAGAGAGAAGGCAGCTAGTCATCACCACCCACCGCCAACTCTTGGACTACTCTTTTACCAACGAATAGTGGGATTGACCGTCATGCAGAAGCGGTAACAGAGAAAAGATTACAATTTCTAAAACATATTAGAGTCCGTTAGAGATTTTCCTCACGTTTGAGAGTAAACTTAAGCTTGTCATTATTGATAGGTTTAAACTTTGTTTTGTCATTTCAAATGTCTTCAATTTTGGAAACATAACCAGATCTATTTAAAATAACGACACCTACACCATTATCTGGACGGATAACAACAACGTTTCTGTTACTGACAAGTTTTTAAAGCAGAAAACACAACCTTTGTAATAGAAGAAGAATTTTTAAGGGGTTAAAGTTTTAGAATGAGGTCAATGCCACTCTTTAAAATTTAGTTTTAATTAAGCTTTCTATGTTTGGTGTATTATTTTTCTGAAAACTGGAAAAGCAAAAAGAGTTCGTGGGTAACTTCAAAAGGAAAAGTTGAGAATTTAAGTTTACTGTTACGTAGACAAAAACCTAAACATTTTGTAAGATAATTTTTTTTACTTCGTTCACTTAAGTTAACACCAGTAAAATTACTTCGTTCACTTAAGTTAACACCAGTAAAATTAAAATTGATCTTATCAGGATTTATGTCACTAAATTTTGTCACTGAAATTAACTTGTTAAGCTTGACATGATAGTTGTGTTCGAGTACGGCGATGGTTTTCGGGTTGAGAGTTTCACTCAGATTGGTGAGATGATGATAGTTAATCTTCGAAATCGTGAATTAATTCAGGGTAGTTTAATATTTAAGTCGACATCTAGAATTCAAAACTTCTTTAAAATCAAAGACGCTCTACACAGATGTATGTGTTTGTGGGTCGTATACAAATACAGTTGCGGCAACTGTAAATTTGCCTATATTAGTAAAACTACAGGTCACCTAAAATACGCGCACTTGAGCACGTGGCAATTTCAGCTAGAATCATTCATAAACTAACCAGCCTTACTGAATATTGTATCCAATTACATAGTGAGAACAATAATCACCCCATACTTTTGAAAAAACTTCAAAATTCTCAACTCCGAAACAAGATATTATAAATTTTTTACCGAAGAAAGCCTTTAGATTTTCAATGATCACCCAGCACTAAATAATATCTACTTGTCCCTATTGTCATAAATCTAATCTTTTCTTGTGTTGTATTATTTATTTATTTTACATTACACTCAAGCTTGTCACTAAAGATGTAGTTTTCAGTGGTATATTTTACTTATACTTTATTTATAATGTTTTCTCTTAACAATATTATTAAACATATGTCTGCCGCATGTTTTATCATACATTCCCGTTAGATATTGTTATCGTTTAAATCTGCGTTCTCTCTCTAAATTTGTGGTTGTATCACCAAATTTTCGCTTAATACTTGATACTGATTTTTGTAGTTAGAATACTGTAAATTTATTTTTTGAAACTTTAACTCTGATGGTTGAATTGTAAACAAATTCGAAACATCCGTAATTTAAAATGTCTTAGTAGTACCATGTTTCTAATAATAACTATTAATTTTATTTACATTTTAATAATAGCATTAGAGAGAGAAAAGTACCGTAAAACATATGGTACATTTTAACTAATTTTAAACCTTGTAATTCTCACAGAATAATTCTTTAAAACACTTATAACTTAAATTGGTATATTAATCTACCAAATTATGAGTGCAAGATAACCCTGGTCGTTGTTTTTCTCTTGAATGTGGAACTTGAAATCGTTCGTAAGAGCAGGATAAAAATGGCAACATATTTCTAAGTTTTATTTTGCTTTACATTTATTTCAGTAAACAGTTCCATATCTTATAGTTATAAACTGGTATATCTTACCCAACTAATGAGATGTTTAGATAAAAACTAACGAGTAATATGCAAAAGTATTAACAATGTATTTGCTTCAAAATTAATAATACTTATAAACCACGCTAACACAACGGTCAATATTCGTACACAAGTGAAATCTGTGTTAGTCTAACCCTCTTTCCGATGGCTCACCGGTGCGTATTTGTGTGTGCGTGGGGGGGGGGGGGTGACCCCCCCCCCACCCCCCCTGAGAGCTTATGCTTATGACGCTAAAAATAAGGTTTCAATATTCGTGGTGAGGAGAGTGTGTAGAGTACACACATCTCATTATGTAGCTTAACAAAAAACAAGTAAATCATAAGGATCAAGTGGCAAGTCACTTTACAATAGCAAACCTTTCATACAGGGCTCACCTCAATTTCCAGGATGTAGGCTCCGTTATTGTTTTCCGTTCCTTCTCTGTCCAGTTTACCTTTAACCGTAACAACGCCGGAGAACGAATCAATCTCGAACAGAGCACGTCCTCCTGAATGTTCAACATCAAATTTCAAACCATAGGTTTTATTTATTACAAGTGAAGAAAACAATTTTCAAAAAAAGGAAGTAAATGTAGGGATGGCTAATATCAATCCTTCAAAAACAATGCAAACAGGACAGTAGAGATGGCAGTTGCATCATCCCTACATAATAGCACAGGCACACAGTGTATTAGAATGTTAAGAGACAAAAATAGGATAGATTAAACTCAATTGTGATTAAATAGTTATATATATTGCTATATGTTAATTATTGCCTCTGCTATTATGTAC